AACACTCACCCAACGTGGAGACAGACATAGAGAGACACTGTACACACAATCACACTCCCCAAGCGTTGTCTAAGCCCTGGGTCTAGGTACTCTTGCCCCTGGAGGGGGAATGTGCACGCCTCCCCTGCACCCTGGTGACACACCTTTACCCCAAGGTCCTGCATGTGTGGGTGATTGTGGTAGAGCGGGAAGAGAGAGGCAGCTGGAGATGGGGAGGGAAGGAAGGGAGGGGCAAGTGAGCCCTCCCTGGGGCCAGCTCCCCTGCTGACCCCAGTAGGCACCCCCACACTCTGCAACCCACCAGGGAAAGGGGCCCAGGCCCATCCGAACCGGGGCCAGTACAGCAGCGCCGCCTGGCCCAACAGAACCCGGGACTGCCCACCCGACCCCACCACAGAGAAAACTGCACCCACCCCGTCATCCACTCATCTTTTTTTTCCCTTAACTATGGAAATAATGCTGTCATTATGTGCTTCAGTTCCATCATCTTCCAACTTTTTGGTGTTGCTGAGCCAGTGCTTTCCTTCATTTTATGTAGTTGATTGTGGATTTGGCCATAGACTTTGCCATATTGTCAGGTTTTTGTTTTTTTTTTACTTCCACCCTAACAAATCTTTTCACATCTCTCTGAATCACGTATTGCACGCCCAACAAAGGAAATCAGCTCTTGATATTTCATCTGCTTAATTTGTCATGAGATAGCAAGAGAACAGGCCTCCACGATTATGAAGCTGTATATGTTATCTCATTATACAATAATATTATATTTGAATAAATATATTATTGTGACTGTGGCTCAGGGAGTAATCAGTTGCTGGTATGAGGCCTGGCTGCTCTTGTCTGCACGCCAAAGTATCCTTCGGCATATTAATGTTAGATAGAAAGCACTTACTTGCATGAATGGATGAATGACATGTATAAAGTGCTTTGAATGCTCATCTAGAGTGGAAAAGCTCTATATTATTAAATATACTATCAGCCAATTGGCTAAATCCTTTTAACCCTCTGAAAATGGGGAAACAGGGTAAAAATGGCTTTAATTCCTAAACAGATGATATCAAGCCCCTTAAATATAGCTAGAAGTCTGCACCCCAGTCACATCTTCACTGTTTGCTTTCAAATCTAAAGTGGTGGTTGAAATTTTGCCTGGTGATAATTTATAAATAAATACAACTGTCAATTTCTACCTCAGCATAATATACAATGGACACCTAACTCTACATGTGTGTCTTTTATTAAGGTCACGCAGCCATGATTGGCTTAATGATGCTGTGACTTATTTATTATTAATGTTAAAACAGGTAAACAAAAAAGTAAAATTAGTGGAAATCAGCTGTGAATCATTCACATTTTTAAATGTGGAGATTTTTACTGGGAAATCTTTCAAATCTTCCCTTAGCTACAGTCCTTGGGCTCATTATTTTGACTGGATGATGTTTTAGGTGAAATGTAGGATAACGGTTTTTAATTCATGTTCGATGTGGGGTTGAATTGACTGCATGTAGAACAGACCACTAAGGATTTGGTGCCCAGCAGCCACCTCCACTTTTAATCTATCCTTGTGTCACATACAACTGCCACATTACTTTGAGTGTCCTCCAAAAATAATGGTTCTTTGCCACACTCTATATCCCTGCATACAAGACTAAAAATATGGACCTAATGCTGTAGGCTCCAGCCAGATGGATGTATCACAGAGGAGGATTTTAGGACTTAGACTGCTCCAGATGAGCTCTTCAAGCAGCCAAGAAGACAAACACTTGAATGGCAAACCATCAGTGTGCCGGAGCTGATTTGCAAACACAGACAAAGACTGAAAACCTAAAATGAACAGATTGTTTATTTATCCAATCGCATTTAAAAAGACTGCATTCACATATTACAGTCATAGTGAAATATACCAATAAATAAAATGGTACACATTAGCCTGTGAAGAGGGTTCTGTGAACAATAGTGCTACGGATACACTCTCGTGAGCTTTTTCTTCATGCCTGCGAATAGACCATCTCTAAAGCGTCAGAGATGATTTAACATTTAAAAGTTCTCCCTTTAGCAGTTTCAACACTGACCGTGATGTGAGTAAAAAGACAGAAAAATAACCACAGTGGGAGATTACCCAACCATGCAATATGTACACTATGCCTTTAGATAAATAAAAGGGGAAGTTGTAAAGCCTTTTGAGCAAAGCAAGAAATATACTTAAAAATCCAATCAAACAGTCTTTGAACTGAAGAAACGTTCTATTCAAGCGTACAACTGACACAAGAAATAAATGTGAATATCGCTTTGAAATGTTTAGAATTAGAAAACAAAAAACAAAAAGTAATGCGTGCTCAAAATAAGTGGCTTAAAAGGGTCAATGCAGACAATGTACGGTGGCCCTGAGAGGTCAAAGGAACTGCAAACTAAAGAAATACCAGCAAATAGAAAAATGTTGAAAAAGCACACAAAGGACAACAGAACTTGAATAAAACACAACAGTAGTAGAAAAACACACACAAACACTAAAAAAAACCCCAAAGGTTATTGGTGAGGTATGTGACCAAACACCTGAAGAAGTGGCAACAATCTAGTGCTAAATGGCTAATAGCAAACATCTATCTGCAGTATTACATGAATCATGTGAAAACACTGCATGTTTTTCTCCCTCACAACATGGATGAGTCGTGTGCTCCTTTTAAGCGTGTCTCAGTACAATGTTTCGCAGCTGGTCCTTTGAATAAACGCCTCCCCCAAAAACACCTGGTTTTTTGCTCTGATTTAACTTCGACTGTGTTTTATTCGGCTTCTGTGTTTTGCTTTGTTTTTTCATTTCCAATGTGTTTTGTGTGCATTTGGAGAAATTTTCGGTTTGTTGGTGTTTTTAAGTCGCAGCGCAGTTCTGAAGTTGCAGCGTTTGACCTCTCTGGGACACCGTACAAACGTGAGGCGCATCGAGTGAATTGAAATTTGAAAACTGGAGCAAGTAAGACACAACCACCGCTACAAAATATACAATGTGCAAGTAACAGTGGTAATAAGGTCAGTGTGTCATTAGTGTTGATTACGACTAGTTCCCTTTAAGTCAAGACACAACCTAAGCATTCAGATGCTTCGAACACTTTTTAGCTTGAAAAACAAACCATGACAAACTTGGATTAGTGATGTGAGGTGCTGCATTGCAGTTAGTCTGCATTCACTTCCACAGATTTCCTGAAGCAGAGACTCAGTACATTACAAGTCCTCTGAGTCTCTTGAGGACACTGAAATATTTTACACTGCTACACAAAGCACTCCATAAAATTCAGTGCATACTATAATAGGCTCCTCGCTAAGGCAGCGCTTTAATTGTCATGTCTCACTTCATAATAGCTGGAGACATCCACTTTAAAGAGTGTAACTAGAAAATCTGAAATACATAAGTAGTGGAGCCATTTGACGACAAGCCGCGTTACTTCTCCGTTTCCTGTTTTTGGATTTAAGAGTTCAACAGCAGCGTGAAGCAAACAGAACCACAGAGGAGCTCTCCCGGCTGCCAGGTGTACAAAGCCGATTGAATTACAGCAAAAAGAAGAAGAACAAGACCGCCACACTTTTAGACCAAGTTGTAGGCATCCAGGTGGCCCTGCAAGATGTGGTCCTTCACCACGCAGAAGACAAACCGGACGTTGTCTGTGTCTGTGGCGCACGTGAAATGGGAGTAGATGATTTTTTTCTCATCTGGGTTAAGACTGACAAACATGTCTAATATGAATGTTTTTCCCGCGTCGACGTCCTGTGGAGGACCTAGCAGAAGAAAACAGCACAGGAATATTTTAGTAGTTGTGTAAAAGTGAAAAATTGTAAGTTAGATTCATGCATTTCCATGAAGAAATAGAAATCTGAATTCACAGGCAAAGCATATCATTTTTATCAGCGGAAAACAAACTGGTACACTCGTGTTTGGTCTGGTATAACCAGTAGCATTTAGTAGCTAATGCCAGCGAACTGTAAAAAGGAGTGAGTGTGTTGTTGGTGATTGTAAGAGAAAGACTGTGCTATTTGACACAGTGAATCAGCAAAAATGAAGGGACCAAGATGCTCATATTATCATGTTCTATTCAAATGTTCTTTGCAGCGAGTGCGCTAGTTCCCCTTACCGTCGTACTCAGGGAAGTAGTCAACCAAATGTGAATACATGATTTTTTCCTCGAGTAAATCTATCTTGTTGAGGAACAAGATGATCGAGGATTCTTCGAACCACTTGTAGCTTATGATTGTCTTGAACAAGGCCATGCTTTCTTCCATTCGGTTCTGTAAAAAAACAAAAAAAAAACCAAACATATAAATAAATAAAGAATGAAAGGGAGCAAACACAACAGACGTGAATCACTGCTGAAGAACAGCAGTACTTCACCAGTGATTGCCTGTGTGAGCAAATTCAATTGGCTGTAATCTCATCAAGTGAACAGGCCTCACTAGAAGGTGCCCTTTGTTGGGCTAAAGTGACTTTAGAGCTCCCCCTGCAGTTGAACTATGAGCACTGCCACAAAGGAGAGCTGAGATGAGGTTAATCAATGTGGCCAGAAAGTGAGAGAGAGAGAGGAACAGACAGACAAAGAGAGAGAGAGAGAGAGAGAGAGAGAGAGAGAGAGAGGAGCTGGACTTTGCAGAAATCTAGGTCATCATTTCCACCTAACAGGTTTGGCCTTAGACAAAGGAAACAAAGTCCCTTTGTGTCCTATCCAGTGAGTTGGGTTTTTTTTTTTTATCCCAAAGTAAGCTACTGTCTTTTCCCATGTAAGAAACATACACACATATATATATATATTAGATTATTATTTTTAAGTCTGATTTTTACCTCATTGGAAGACTCAGCGAGGACCTGATCGTACTCACTAAGTGCCACCAGGAACATGATGGAAGTGACATTTTCAAAACAGTGGATCCATTTCCTCCTCTCTGAACGCTGTCCACCCACATCCACCATCCTACAGTCACAGGTTTAAACCGGTGAAAAATATTAAGGTAACATAAATGATACAAATGATGTTTCTTAAAAATGATAACCGGACCGGAGACAGCAATGTAAAGTACATGAACTGTTATATTAAAGAGGTAAAACCAGTCAAACTGGGGGAACCAGTCAACCAACAGCTAATATAATCAGTGGCCAGCTGTCACAGCGACATAGTCTAAAATTGGTGAGTTCAAACAGTTTCTATCTAATTCTAATGTGAACTCTAATGTGCGTTACATTTTAATGGGCTTCCTGAAAATTAACATCTCAGTGTCCAGTTACCTAACACACAGTAGGTGGCTTTGAGAGATCATTTTAAAGTTGGTCGGGCCTTCTCACAAAGTTTGACTAATTATCGGCACAGTTAAACGTCACTATTTTTAGCGTTAAAATGATATTTAGTTTTCTAATTAACAAACTTTTTGTTTGCTATATAACTATGAAATCAATTTAACACACTTCATGCAGAACTGCTCTGTGTGATCTGTCTGCTCTTGCTCTACGTAGCCGCCCAGGATGGCAGACTTGATGAACAAATTATATTTAGGGACGCAATGATAACTGCAGTCCAAGGGCGAATGGGTGAAAGTGTTGCTTATGTGCTTATGTTACCTGATAACACTAGGTATCATCAGGGACAATGTCGTTGTTTTTGCAGGTATCTGGTTACCAGAGAGGTTACAAGTAAAAAGAAAAAAAAGCAGGATGGCCATTTGCTAGCAGTGAATGCACCATAATGATGTATACACACAATAGACATTGTACTCGGGAGGTAGAAGGGTAGAAGATTGTATGAAGATGTATCGATCCCTGTAATACCTCGAATTATGTTATCTACTTTTAAGGAATGTTGCATTATTTTAATAGTATTTGTGGGGGACACCATCAAAAGAAAAAAAAACCAAAACACTGACCTGAACACCACGCCCTCCAGGTCAAAAGGGTACTCTATGATACCGGTTGTGGGCACCCTCACCCTCAGCACATCTTGCTGAGTTGGCAGATACCCAGTATCGGAGATTCGATCCAAGTCATCCAGATAGCTAATAGCACAGGAGGAGGATAATGCAGCGTTAAGAAATGAAAATGAAAGCCGCTGACAGAAAGACTGATGAAGAAGCAGAACAGAGAGGGAGAGAAGGAAGACATTTATTTTGAATTATTTAAGTCATGGCTGTATCTGTTTCAGCCACGTAGCTGTAATGAATTATTTAGAATTTAAATGCGTTTCTTTTTAACAACCTTAAATGGAAAAACTACTAATCCTCTGTGTCCTTGGTGCATTAAAAAGACGGCTGGCAGATGAAACACAGGAAATTATTAGACAGTGTCTGAGGAGTTATTCTTCTGTTTACACTCACTATTTGGCTGAGTCTGAGAGCTGGTATTCCCGCTTCCGATTGTAACATTCCTGAATTCCCGGATCGCTCCACAAGCTCTTCAAGGCATCAATGTATGGGTTGGTTAATGTTACCACCTTTTCCACATCAGCCTTATTGACAGTTGTGGCGTTGGCCTGAGTATCACAATAACACATTAATATTAGCGACAACTTTGGAAAGAATAATTACTTTAATATTGTGTTATTTATAGGAAGCATCTCTTGCGCAACTGTCACCGCAGCATTATAGGTGACGAATCAGTCCGAGTGCTGGAAGGAAGGAGTGATGTCATCCGGTTTACCAAGATAACAAATACCAAACAAGATGGAATTAAGATTCTGATTCATACTAACAATCATTTACTGAAACTAACTGTTCAACATATAAGCACATCATTTTGATACAGTAGGGGAAATAATTGTTCGAAAGAAACGAAAAGTTTATATTTTTTATGATAATTCCTTTTTGAACTCCTTATGTGTATGAAGCACAACTTTCCAGAGAATCAGTTCCCTCCATTTTACCACTTTGGGCAGTATCAAAGAGCCAAGAATAAAAATAAGAAACCTAACGGATTTCGAGAGTTTCGGCAAAGAGGAGCGGGCCAAACTCCCCCCTGAGGTGTGTACATGCCTGGTGATGTGAGCAAACTTTCAAATTCAGCAGGCAATCAAATATTTATTTCCCCCACTGTAAAAGAGAACATTTTGATAGTCTCCAACAGACATGATGAAATTAGGCCCTGTTTAAACTACTGTCACAGGGGGTCTTTAAAAACCAATAAGTAATCTCTGAGCTTCCAAACATAAAACAATAAATCTGATTTAAAGGTATCTGTGTAGTGGTTTTTCTTGAGTATGTTATCAACAGCTGTTGTTTATAAATCGTGATTCTCAACCTAGCAGTCAAGCGTGTTAACCCCATCTGCAGGAATTTAGTGCATTGGTTTGCATGGCATTGTTGTGGGAGAGAAGCGGTACCAGTATGTTATACGGCAGCCATCAGTGAAAAACGGAAATGACACTGAAGAAATCAGACACAACATGAAAGGAGCTGGGGTAGATATGGGTTGCAAAGCAGCTTGCAGAGGCAGTACTAGCCGCGGGAAGGCTAAAGCATTTGCATGCCCCCATATCAGATTTTTCCAACAGGAAGCACAGAAGGGCAGCAGTTCAGCAATCGGCTAATGAGAGCTGGCTTCAGGATCACATAGCCCGGCTACACTGATGCTAATGCTAAGTTAGTTGTAGCTTCCATTTCATTTATAACTGGCTAAATACAGACTTAAATTAATTATACAACAAGCTAAATGGTGCAAAACATAATGTGGGACTACCAGCTGTGTTACTAAAACTAAAGTCATGTCATCATTCAAACTTAGCACTTTTGTCGAACTATTCAGACTTTGTTTATCTAGTTTTTTAAAAATGTATTTTTCATAGAAAACCAAATGCATTTATATCATCCTGATTCCTGGGTTTGAAATTGAATGACTCATGTCTTCTCAGAATTCTTAATCTCTAATTGCTCTTACCGTCCTAATTTGTTTCAGATTACACATGAACATTTCCCACACTGCATACACTCCATCCCTCCACTGGGAATTCACATGCACCCATTTAGCTATAACACGCTTATCCTCAACCTGGAGTACTAATGATAACTGATGGGTTAAATTGTATATCCTGTTTAGTTTACCCTCAGTGACTGCGTCTCTTGAAATTTGCCTTGAAGCCTTACTATACAAGGTGCTCTTTCAGACATTTTTGCTTACGGGCAGCAGTGTTTGATGATCGGTCATTTTTTTCCTACACTAGTAAACATGAGAATCAAAACCCATCATTAATGAAATTCCAGTGTTATGAAATATATGAATCGAACCGGCTGATTACACTGCAACGCTCCAATAAGGTAACACTCAAGAACATATATCTGTTTGTTGAGTCATATATTTTTCATAATGCAGAAGTCTTTGGAAGGGATTTTCCACTTTGTTTGATTTTTTGTTTTTGTTTTTTCATGCTAACTAAAATGCTCCTGCTTCAAAGTATACTCCCATTCTTCTCTTTGATGGTCATGTTTTTCTTTTTCTTTTTTACATTTTCTTCCCCCTGCAGTCACTGACCACCTGACAGAAATCAAAAAATCTTAGCATTTTACTAAAGATTGTTCCTGCTTTTAATTCCACACCACTAATACAATGTAACTTACTCGCCTCCATCACTCAACAGCTGCCACTGTTTTATGTGCCCGCCTCAAATAATCACGTCACTTCCAGTATCTACTTCATTTTTTATAGAGCTACTCAGAGGCAGATTTCTTATTTAAGACTCAAAAACATAATCATAGAAATACCTCTGAGTATTCTTCTTACAGTATGTTCCGGTATAGAGCTAGCTAGCCGCAGTTATGACAGTATCGTTAAGGCAGTCACATGAGTCTAGAGAGAGGTTGGCAACTGCCTTGTGTCCACCTTACTGGTTGCCAGCAAAACATCTTTGTGGTTTGTGTCTCACTTTTTCAAGTTTCGCTACAGTTCAGTGTTTAATTAGCAAGTGTTTGCAGACAGGTCAGTGTCATCCATAACAGCCACAAGCAAGCATTACACCGTGCTAGTGACCCCAGTAATCACAAGGAGGTGTGACTTTTTGTGTAAACCTCTTACATAAAAAGTCAGCTAAAACTATCACTTTTGACTTTATATGAGAAAATGCTCTCAGAATAAAATTCTAACCTGTGTGTTTAGTGAACCAAACAGTAGGAGCAAGCTTCACTAAGTTAAGATGTTCTCCTTCAGGTAAAAGCAAGCAAAAAGCTAGTTACCCCAGCAGGCTTTTATGTGAGCATATAAATTTAATCCAACTCGTTCCATTGTTCTTTTGGTTTGTTTTCTTTTTGTTTCAGAGAGGTTATACGAGGACTCAAATCTTTGGATGGGCCTTCTGTGCATTACTGTAGATTCTAAGCTATGATTTCACCATTCAGGGAAGAGGTTTAGTGAACTGATATACTGAGTGCCTGATATCACCGCTCGCTAAATTATTCAAACAGACAGTCAATAGTTTATTCAATAATGAGCGATAAATTTGATTTCCGGACAGGAGTCTAATGCACTTTTTTGTGATCAGCATAGTTTGTGAACAGTGTAGTTGATTTGATGAATAAACGCACTTATTTCAGACACAGCGACTGATGTCTTGACCTCACTGACCTATGGTCTCTCTGTGTTTCACTGCTGATTTATGCAAACCGACTGCATACAAACAGTGCCATCCTGTGAGCTTTTACAGAACACCACCAACACTACAGGAAAGAAAAAATATAACGCACATGCTGACTCAGATGATCACTGACATAGGCTCTCCTGGATTGCATCCTGACCTGGAGCTTTACCTAATGTAGTCTCTGTGTGTGAGCTAGCAAGTTTTTGTGATTAATACGCACCTGGTGTTTGTAAGACAGGAACAGATTCCTGTATGAATAATGGGGAATTCCTGATCTCTTACTTGTTTTTGGCTCAGGACTACCAGTTTTTACATGCTTGCAGTGTGACACTCTGTATACTTCAAAACGACAGCTCACTCCGTAAGTAGACAAAACTCTCTGGCAGCAGGATTGCAAAACTAAACACTGTTGCAAATTACCAGAAGTGCTTCACCCTAAATACACAGTAATACACACTGCAGGCTCTGTCAGTAAACCTTCCGCATGCTTCTGTGGGACTGTGTCTGATAAAAACCGCTTTCTCAATTTGTCTGAGCAAAGCAGCGAAGAAAGGACACAGGCCTACCTTGTTGTGCTCATACTTGTAGGGGATCTGCAGTGCGTTCATGGCCTGGATCATGGCCTGCATGGCTGTGAAGATGTTCTGGTACACCAGCTGTTTGAAGCCTCTCTTGTCTTCATCAGAGTATCCACGGCCATGGATGATCCTCATCTGTTTAATGAACGTGCTCTTGCCACTTTCACCAGTTCCTAGCCAACAGGAGACATAAATGTAGTTTTATTCTTTATTCCAATCAAAATACCAACAATACAATGCACCTGTCCTCCCCTCTATACCTTATCACATCCAGATACTGTGTAAATCCAAAGGTCATTTTCATCCCCTCAAGTGATTCTTGATCCAATAAGAACACATGGAAAATCAGATTTAAAAAAATATATATCTTAAATATTTATTACAGAAAAAATCTATTACAGACATTTTTTGTTTTGTTTTGTTTTGGATCTGTTTTTACAAAATGATTTTTTTTATAATTAATGGACGATCAATAAGCTACCTGAGCACTTCCTGTAATTTTACTTTTACTTTTTGTATTTCTTACAATTTAAGCACAAAGAGACACAATTATGTTATTTACCACAACAGCAGGTAGAAAAAACTTAAAGTCTGAGAACTTGTTTTTTATAGTGGTAGAAGAAGCATCTAGATCATTTACTTAAATAAAAACTTCTTTAAACATATATAAGGAAAATTCTTTTAATTAAAGTCCCACTAAACTAAAAGTGCCTCAAC